ACATATACTTGTCCACACACGGGTTTAGAAATGAGTTGGCTGGTCAACTTGAGCATGTTACTGACAGAGGGGATATTGGGGTTATTTTCTGGTGGGAATAGCATGTCACTAAAGCAGGCCTTTTGATATATTAAAAAAAATTTTTTAAAGCAAAATAGAAGTTTTAGAGTTTAATCAGATTTGTAGGGTTTCTAATTTTACGTGATTGCTCATTTGCTTCAACTATGTCCTTCCACCTCTGCTCTTGGAGGAGAGGGAGACAGGGCTGTTGGCAAAACTTGTGATTTTGTATCCTGGTGTCTTCTCCCAGTGCAAAATATTCCTTTCCTTTGTTAAGATGCTGAGGAGTTATTTTTTTCTTTTATAATAAAAACCTCACCTTCATCCCCGAATTTCCCCTCCTGTTCTGTGGTGGGTTTTGTGTTGGCAGCAGGCCAGCTGTGGTTCTCTTGCCATGATGACTTCTGATTGCCATGTACAGTATGTTCAGAGTTAGATAACACCTCATTGTAAACAAACTGTGTAACTGCCCAGAGCAGCACTTATAAATCAGCCTAACATTTATAAGATTTCTTCTGACTTGTTTCTTTGTGGTTCTTTTAAATCCCTATATGCCATTTCATTCCTTTATATCCTTCCCAAAAGGGGTGGTGGGGGGGCGGTTTGTTTTGTTTTAAGAGGCAAAATAAGCTGAAGTTTATCTGCTTTTTGAGTTTTTAAAACTCTGGAGTCATGTTGCTGACAAGCTCTTTCCTATACCTCTCTAGCTTGGGTATTTGAGATTTCTGGGATTGTTTTTTCATCTAGACTCAGATCACACATCTTGATATTTTCTAGCCCTAGAGTTTTTTAGCAGGTACGACCCCTGCCCCTCCCCTCCCTGTGCTCGAGTTTGGTTTTGACCTACCATGCTATAACACGGTCTTGAACACACCTGGCTTAATAGAACAGCCTAAAATATTTAATGTGTGACTAACTGGTTTTACTAGCTCTACTCTTCTCTGCCCAGCTGCCAGTGGTTCATTTAAGTAGCAAATATTGACCACGTTGCTACCTTGGTTGAAGGCTGGCTGTGCCCTGGGCATAGGTTGTCCTTGGATATATCTTTCTTTGCACTAGACCAATGAACTGCTTGTGATTCTTCCAAAAGCTTTATGTTGACACCTCTGCCCTTGCTCTTTCGTGATCTGTTTACCTGGAAGTTCTTAGACCTTATCCTAGAAAAAGTTCCTACTTTTTATTCGTTCCTTACCAGGCTAGGTAGGAGCTCCCTCTTGCTCCTATGGTGCTGTACACATAACTAGCAAACAAGGCAGTTATTTGTTCAACACACTAGTGCACCATACTGTTAAATGATGTTACTAATGTTAATAACATAGTGAGCAATAGTGATCGTTTTTGAAAGGTAGTGTTCCCTATCAGAGGCAGCTGGGGCCCGTTATAGCAATAACAATGTTCTTTAGGCAAGTGTAAACTTTGCTCTAGTCTTACATAATCCGTGGTGTTAGGGTATCTTAGGAAGGTTGGCTCCTGACATCATGGTTTAATTTTCAAAGTAGATCCTACCTATTAGGTTGCTGGGTATGATCCCAGTTGACACCTGTTCCAACATGAATAAGAGTGCCCTCTTTCACCCTAAGTATTCCCCTGGTTTTGATGTTAGATTACACAGTCACTCTTACTTCTTGAATCTCTACTTCCACATCCCCAGCTGAAATTGTCTTCCCTTTACTGGGTCACCCTTGCAGGTTTTAGGGAGGTATATTCTACACGGTATAGCACAAGACCGAAGAGGCAATGACCTAAACACTTTGGTTTTTGTTTGCTGTAACCAATTCCCCAATAAAGATTGCATGAAAAGGAAAAGGAATTCTAAATTCATAGGATCAGAATTTAGATGGAAACAACTAGCATATTTCCTTTTCCATCCTGTCACCTGGAATCAGCTTTGACCTACAGGTCACAGTGCAATCCCCTTGTATTTCCAAGGTGTTTTTTATAGCTCATTTAGCAGATACTAGGTTACATGATAACTTTTATCACTGACAGATTAAACAGAATGATGGCCAAGCCTTCAGCCTCGAAGAGACAGGCCAGTATTTGCGAAAGGAGGTCTCCATGAACTTAAACAACATGAGTTCCCTTAATATCCTGCAGGTTAGTAAATGACAGCTAAATGGCAGCACACGCTAATAGGGGATTTCAAGGAAGTCCTTGGCTGGGTGCTTGTCTAGGGCCACTTAAAAAGTCAGATGTGGGCTGGTGGGTAGAATAGTAGACTAGTGAGCGGATAAAAGAAGTTTCTGAACAAAGGCTTTGTGCTGGGGCTCCAAATAGCTCACCGAAGCCTTCACATAGATATTAATAATTCCAGCTACTGCTTGGCCCTTGGACTAGTAAAGTAAAAGTAACTTGCTATCCTAAAGAAAGAAAGTGTCCCATCACTCAATAGGATTTTTTAATTGAACTTCATGCAGGCAGGGATCCTGTTACTCTTGCTCACCACTGTATCCCCAGACCTTTTATGGTGCCTGCGGTACTTGTTTAATGAATAATTTTTAGATACTAGTTCTGTGAGCTTTAAGCCTATAACTACCGGCTGGTGTCAAACCTATGAGGTCTTGGTTGGTTGGCTATGTTTTAACTCTGGCCATGGCACTAAGATGCCTGTTTTATTGAGCTTAAAAAAAATCAAACATGTTGATTGTTTTTCACTGCAAACATTATGGCACAACTCAATCCTTCCTGGAAGTGTGTTGTAGAAAAGAACAACTACTTGCTCAATTAATTCTGGTTGGGTTCAGGCAGCTCGGAACCTTGTGTTTCTTCAAGAGTTACAACTGATATAAAGTGGCCGTTTATCGTTGCCTCCAAAGGCTTCAGATAGATTGGTACTGTAAACAGGTTTTCAGTCTTTAGCTCAATCACGAGACATTCATTAAAAAAAAAAAAATTCATACTTAATTTCACAATATGCAGATATATGCACATACACAATAGGTACAATATAGACATACACCATATTTGTGAGAACACGCATATATGTACATGTTAGATTCACAATACAGGTATCCTACATAGGCCTTTTACCCAAGATACAGCATCTTACAAAAGAGACAGGAACTTATGAATATATCTTCCAGAAACAGTACACAAGAGAATTTGCTGAGCTGAGAAAGCTGTCATCAGGAGTGGAGAGGTGAGACATAGAAGGTATAGTCATTCTTAAAATAAGGGTCTACTGCCAACTCTTAATCATTAATCTCCCCCCCTCCTGTGCTTTATGCACAAGAGGCTCTCAGGCACTGCCAACTAATAAGTAGTCTGTGATTCACTGCCTGGAGTTGCTCTGATCTAGGAGAGGAACATCACAGTCCTATGTTACAGAGGAAGTGTCCATATGGTTGCTGTTGTCGTTTGATGAATTGCTTTTCAGGGGGCTCCTACCGCAGCAAGTTGTCCTCATGGATTTCAGATTGAGTTCCTTGCATTGTTTTGAGATTGCAACTTGTCAGCTTGTTCAGCTCTTCCACTGTATGGCGTGGTGGGCAGACCTATGGACTGAGATCCAGTGGGCCCTCCATCGCTGAATCTGTAGTCGTGTCGAGGCCTGTCTGCATACGCCTTTCAATAAAGGTTTAGAGTAACTCCTCTCTCGTGACTCTATCTTACTGCTCTATTGAATTGGCATTTAAGGTACCTCCAAAAATTAATAATCAAATAAGATGGGGGTCAAATAGGCACTACTTTGGTGCTTGGGGGGAAGCATATGAATGAGAGGACGAGTGAATGGAAATCCTTCTCTTCCTCTTTGTGACTCTCCTCTTCCAGCCAGAGAGTGTCATTGGCATCACCAATCGATATGGGATTCCTGGGCCTAGCGCTGTGCACACCAGCTTAGCCTCAAATGACTGTGTGATATTGTCGTGACTCCATTCCAGTAATGCTGCAGAATGCAGTGCGGTGTCACATGGAGGACGGGAGGGAGGCGGGCTTTTGTTGGAGGAAGTGAACATTTGCCTGGTCTCTGGGAAGGAACTTGCGATCTAATCAGCAGCTAACTTTAGAGAGACAGTACAGTAGGGAAATCCACTTTCCCAGGGC